ATTGGACTCACTCCACTCGCAAGAACGATGTTCTAGAAATCAGGAACAAGCTGGTAGAAACTGTTTTGAATGCCAATGAAATCGCGCATTTTTCAGAGTAGCAATGCTCATATTTATTTAAATATTTATTAGTTTTATCTTTGCATATATAATATGGATATATATGGCTTACTTGAATTGTTCTTAATCCTAGGTTCACGTGCTCAAAAAAATTCATGCTCAAAAAAAGTCTTAGCCTATTCAAAAAAATTTCTTAGCTTAGGAAAAAAAAAGGGTTTTTCTGGCTCACAGCATCCGCATTTTGGGCAAAGCATTTAAGTAATTCTACAATTCGCTGTTCGTTAAACGAAAATAATATTTAGTATTGACTATTGCTTTGCTCTTGAAAAGATCATTTTTGCGGCAGCTGCAGAATTGCTTCGCATTGTTATATATACGACTTTTGGCTTAATACGTATTAAAAAAATTGAGTTTTGGAAACGTTGCCTGATGAATAGAAAATGTCTGGGAAATCCTCAGGATGTAGAATGCTCCTAAAAGATACTTAGGAGCTGATTTGAGTGGAAGTTGCTTGAGTAGACGAATATATAACACAACGAAACCATGAGTAAAATTAAGAGGATCAATGACGATGCCATGTTATGGAGGCAATTCAGTGTTGAATTCAACCATCCATAACGTACAGCAATATCCTGTAAAGGATGATATCTGGGCATCACTAAGCACAGAAAAAAAAAAAGAAAAAAAAAGATGAGGCGCCTTGCTTACAAGTCATCCGAGCCCGACATGATCTCCTCGAACAGCGAGTGGGCATTGTCAGTGGCCGATGATCTGTCGCCAGCGGCAGAATTGCTCCTGGATCCACCACTGACAAGCTCATCCACCGTGTCGAGGCCCGTGAAGTTGGCCCTTCCTCGGCGTGTTCTACTGGTCCTGAACTTTTTGGCCGGGGGCTCGATGACTTCCCTGTTCGGAGCAGGAGGTGGTGGTGGCGAAAGAGAGGGAGCTGGTGGATTCGGCACCGTGGTCGGTGGCATAATGTAAGCATACTGGGGAACAGTACCGTTGCCATCGCTGTGCCGCAGAGGGACGCGTATGAATCCAACAGTGGCCGGATCAACGGGCTTGCTGCCCTGGAAGATATTGAAGCCTGAAATTCGTAAAGGGTTAGAGAATATCCGACACATCTTTGAGGAAACTTACCCTGGTATTCGCCAAGCTCATTCTGAACCAGCACCAAAGGATGCTGGCATTGCTGCAAATTGCTCAGCGGCACTAGGCTTATGGCGTCCGCCGAAGCGTCTGGCGGCGCGCAGTCCCGAGTGTTCTCCTCCTGCTTGGACTCAGCTGGTGGTTCCTCCGATTGTGTCATCGGCTCTGGAACTTCTTTCAGCATTTCGAAATCCTCGAAGTCATCGTCCTCATCACTCTCAACGTAGTCCTCCTTGTGGGGATTCTTGCAGCACACGCAGTGGCAGCCGGCGCAGCTATTGTAGCTCTTGTAGCAGGGGCATCGAGAGTTCCGGCAGGTGGTTAGGGTATTGCTCGAGCCGGAGATACCGCAGCGGCACTTGGGCTTCGGAGGCTTCACCTTTTCCTCCTTGTCCTTTCCGCGAATCCTGCGAAGTCCACTCTTTCCAGATTGCATTTTCGTCTTAACGTCCGACGGGGCAGGCTCTATTTTGGCAGCTTGTGACGCCTTAAGACTACGGGTTCTCTTTCGCTTGAGTGTTGCCTCATCACTGTCCTCCTTCTGCAGCTCCGCACTGTTGGGATGCTGCTCTGGCTCCTTCTCCTTCGCCTCTTCAGCCGCTGCTTTTGCGACCTCGAAGTCTTTCAGCAACGGCTCCTCATCCTGCCATTCTGCTTGTACCCGGTCCACTTGTGTTTTTGTGGCCACATGCTCCTCCACAGACTCCTCAGCTTCGGCTAGTACAGGTGACTGTGAAGTGTGCATATCCATATGATGATCGTCCTCCTTGGGCTCACCCACAACCTCTGACTGAATTGAGGTCTCTTCGGCCTCTACAACGGTGACCATAGCCTCGTCAGATTCCGCACCTTCCAGCTCAGTCAGTTGATTAGAGATTTCGTTGGGTTCCTCAGCGGAGGTCAGCACTGCCAGCTGGGTGGATGTTCCAACAGTCTCCTCAACGGTCTCTTCAACGGTCTCTTCAACGGTGGTGGAGAGCACAGTCAACTGTGCGGACGTTTCAACGGTCTCCTCAACGGCCAGCACAGCCAACTCTGCGGAGTCCGCCATTTGCACCACCTGGCCGATGTGCAGTTCCTGTGGATCGAACGTCGTGGTCGTAGAGGTGGGCATCAAGTAGGACACGGCAAAGTTGCTGCCGCTATTGGGGTAATTGGACACCGAAACGGCGCCGGAGAGGTCCACTTGATCCGCCCACGCTTGCTCCATAAAGCCCGACTCCGAGTTGTCGGTGGCAATGACTATTTGCCCGGCGTGGGAGAGCAGACCCATGCGAGATCCTGTGGGCAGCAGGGGGAGCGGCGAGAAGTGACCCTGCTCCGCTGTGGCCGCCGCCTCCGCCTCTATGTCGCTGATGTTCAGGTGGTGATCGTAGGGCAGTTCCGGAGTAGTGGCCGCCGTGGTGGGCGGCGTCTCAGCAGGCAGCGACGTGGGCATGTCCTTGAGGAACGGCAGATCCGGCTGGGGGAGGAAGGTGTCGAACGTATCGGAGATGTTTGAGCCCTCGCGAATAAACTCCTGTGTGGTTTTGGGCGGCAGCTTGATGCGCGGCACCAGCTCCCTGCCCACCTGGGGCCGCATCCCAGCCAGTTGCCCAAATATCGCCGAGTGCAGCAGGTGGACGCACAGCGTCTTGTAGCACAGTAGCTGCGTGCCCATCATGCGGTTCTCCTCGTAGGTCTTGAAGTCGGAGCACCCCTCGCACTGGGTGCAGCTGGGAAACAGATGCTTCCTGCCGCGCAGGCACAGCCGGCACACGTTGTGCTGGCACCGCTTGCCCTTGGGGGAGTACGGATCCACCAGCAGTTGGCAGCACACCACGCAGGACAGCAGCTGGCGCAGCTCCCCGATACCAGCGTTCAGCTCCTCCACGCGCCGCTTGGAGAGATTCGAGGCGGAGCGCAGCGAGAGGCGCGTCACCTTCAGGTAGGCCGTCTGGGCCAGCATGGTGGCTATATTTTAATGCCCGGTACTGTACGCACGCCGGTGTTTTTGTTTACGTTTAGCAGCCCGAAAGTGGGACTCCGCTGGCCAAGTTCCTCGTTGGAACTTCTCGCCACGCCGCCTGCTGCGCTACCTGGTGCCGCCTGGGCTAGTTACCTGCTAGTTACCCCGTCTCCTGGTGCTCAGTTACACATGCTTACACCGCGTTAATCCTCGATTTCATCATTTAATGGCAAATTCACTGGAACGCTCTGGCCGTTTTCACTTTTTCGTTGCTGGTTTATCCTTATCACTATGTTTCACGTGCAAAAAAAAAAAAAAAAAATATGTGGTTTATGTTTGAGAGCTCTCAAGTCATTGTTAATGGTTATGCTGCACAGCGTACAGCTATAAAAACAATAAATTAACAACTCAAAAAAATTACCCAAGCAATTCTTTGCTGAGCGAAGCAAGTGTGACCGCAGTGTGGCAGTGCAAACATGCCAGCTGCAGTGCGGCAGCGGTGTGACCACTTGCACGAACAGCTGATTCCCAGTGCTCTAAGGATTTTTCACGGATACAATCGGCGGTCCTACAACAAATTTTTACACTAAGTTTTTCAAGTAATTATGGTTTTTTAGTATTTCCCGTCAAAGGAAAGTGGGAAACCGATGAAATTATAAGCTAACAGCTATTTCGCATACTCCAGGTGGTAGGAAAGCCAGAAAATGCCGGAGCCACGCAGTCCGATGGCCAGTTTCGCCGAGTCGGTGATGAATGTCATCGATGGACCCATAACTTGGTTCCGTGGTACGTAATCCATAGGGATCCCCATCCGCTATGGTCCTCGGAGTCTCCAGATGCGACTTGGATCCATTTCCGTTGGCCGACGATCCGAAAAACCGGACAAATTCCAGACAATTACATAATGACATAACCTCAACTCGCGGGCCATTTGTTTTTGTTTACACTGCATTGCTTAAATGCTAAAATGTTTGTAATCTTCTGTCTTTAGTAATCACTAGGAAGCACAAACTAAATGAGCTAAACTATTAGTCGGCAGCCCTTGACAGCAGTCCGTTACTATATAACTAATTTAGTCAAAAGCCGAATCAAACCATTAACTTCATGTTTTTCAACATAAATGCATTAAAATTAATAGATTTGCTGTAAGGTATACTATTAATGCGCCTTGTGTTAATCCCACAGAGAGCATTGTGGAGCCGAACCAGCAGAAGCAGAATTGGTATCACCAGCGCTTCCGCCGCGTTCCGACGATCGACCAGTGCTACACGGACGATGCCGTCTGCCGTTTTGAGGCCGACCAGCAGTTCCGCCGGGATCGCATGGTGGACAACGAGATTGTCAACATTCTGCGCCAGCGCTTCGAGGACTGCACCCTCTACGAGGCACCCGACCACATGGTCAAGTGCAAGCCGCTGCTTGAACAGTACGAGAAGGCCACCGAGAACTGGTTCATCAAGTGTGAGTGGAATCCCTGGCCCATCCTTAAAGTTGTGTGTGATGTATAACGAGATATGACCCATTTTAGATGGCGACTTGGGAGGCTACGCCAATGCCAAGACCGCGTACATGAAGCAGAAGCATCGTCTGATCTGGGAGCGTCGTCATGGACCAGTGGGCAGTGGCATGAACCAGGAGGCCGCCCATTAAACACCGCTTTTATGTGCCCAATGTGCCGATCTGAGCTGATGTTTTCTAGTTTCTTTATCCGTTATAACTAAATATACACGCCGTAAAACGATATTCCGGATGATTGAGCTTACTTTCAATTGATTTCAGTGCGCAAATTCCATTTATAAAAAGGTGAGAGCTAATACAAAGTATTTAGGACTCCAGGAGCTAAATTTGTATATTAGTTGAATTTATTACTAGTCATTTTTCTTTAAAAATAAATATTAATATTTGCGTTTTGACAAAAGTTAAGCTAGCTTAAAACTATTAGTTCTCAAGATTGAGAGCCAGGTTAAGTCGTTCCAGTAAATTCATAATATAGTTTTCGTAGGCATACTGTAATAAGTTTACAAAATAGTGATAAACTAGCACCTAAATAATACTTCAGACTTTTTGGAATATGTGGACAATTTCAAAAAGCATTAGCATTATATTCTCTTTTTTTTTTTTTAAAGGAATGCCTGGTCCAAAATCATTTTGCTTTTCGTTAAAAAGAGGTAGAATAGAATTAGAAAATATACCAATGAGGCAACTGTGAAACTTCTTCTATGCTTTCTATAATTCAACTAGGGCTTAAATTACGCTTGAGTTCAGCTAATCGAGACTAGCGGCTTGTTTATGAGACTCTTTTTGAGCTTAGCCAGGGCGCTATTTGCGGTCTTGTCTCCTGGCTTTTTGTCCTTATTTTTGGGACCCAATGGTATCATGGTTGTGTCCATTAGCTTGCGCCGGAATCCTTTGTAGAATTGCAGCACCTGTGGATTGGCCCACACTTGTTTGGCATCAAAGTCCAGGATGCGAATGGATTGCAGGGATTTCGCACGGGATAAGGCCACATAGGCCTGTCCAGCCTCAAATACTTTGGACAGGGACATCTCCACACAGTCGAGGGTTAGTCCCTGACTCTTGTGTATGGAAAACGCCCAGGCTAACTTCAGTGGAACTTGCCGTCGTGTTATATGGCTCCCTGAGGCAGTTTTAATTATCCACTTTTCGTGCTTGCAAATGTATTCCTGGTTGTTCTTGAACCTGACTACTGGCAGATCCTTCTCCATTCTTACAACGACTCCTCGAGCTCCATTCACTAGCCCATTCGATATGTTTATATTCTTGAGCAGCATCACTTGGGCATTCACCTTTAAGTACAACTGAGATGGAGCCTGAATCTGTTGATCCAGCGTCTTGGTCATGCTAGCATCGGAATCATCAGCCTTGAATAAGATCTTGTCACCTCCGAGGTTTTCCAGCTTGGACTCGTTAATGGAATTCGCATCGTTTGTGTGGGAGCACAGTTGAGTGGCCAGAATGCCGTTTCCCTCAATTTTTTGCTTCGATGTAGCTGCCAGTCGACTGGTTATGGAATCGTTCACATGGCCAATTCGCAGGTGGTTAAGGATCTTTACGAACTCCGGATCTGATTGCCGATGCACTTGCTTCAGTTCGTAGACGCACTGGATGCAGGTCTCCCATGCGGAGGACTGGAAGCAGAACCGCTGCTGTGGCGTGGCAGTGGTCGCTCCTCCGAAATCTCCCTTTATAACCGGAGGAAGTTGCAAGAAATCACCGCACAGGATGAGCTGTATGCCGCCAAAAGGTCGATCATTGCGGCGAATGTGACGGGCGACGGCTTCAATTTTCTACGAAAAACAACAGAGCGAAGTGTGAACATTTTTCAAAGCGCATTGGGATGAAAAAGTACCTCAAAGAACTGTCCGTCCACCATGGAGATCTCGTCAATTATCAACCGCTTGCACTTCCTCCAGTTCTGGGCACTCGCGGGTCGGGAAGCCAGCTCCAGACTCCGCTGCATGGTGGCGTCCCCTCCTCCTATGCCAGCGAATGCGTGCAAAGTGGTCCCACCGATCAGACAGGCTGCCACTCCTGTGGAGGCCGTGGCCACCGTTCCATCGGGCGGCAGGGCCGAGATAATCCGGCGGAGCAAGAAACTCTTGCCAGTACCGGCGGAGCCGGTGAAGAATACACTTTTGCCCGAGGTGCACGCCCGCAGGACTTCCATTTGCTCCTCACTGAGTCTCAGCGACTCGTCGGTGGTCGACTGATATAGTTTCTTGGCCGCGGGCATGGTGCCCCGTTCCTTCTCCTCCTTGAGCTCCTCGAAGCGGCGCTTCTTGGCGACCTGGGGCGACGGCGTGGTCACTGACCCCTTGGACAACAAACCCGCCTTTTTGCGCGCCAAAATCATCTCAGCCGTGGTGACCGGAGAAACGTCTTCAAAACTGCTTGGTTTGGCGGACATCAGATGCTCGCGGAGTTTTTTCTGCAAGGACGCATCATCCGGCTGAGATCCTCCCTCGTTTCCGTTCATTTTAATGTAGATCGTCCGCAGGAAGAACATCAAAGTGCCAGGCGGAGCATTCGATAGATATAGGGTGCAGTTTTCTGCCTTGAAGTTGAAGGTGGCCTTGCCCTCGGCCATGAACTTCTTGTGCACCATGAGATCCTTCAGTTTGAACTTCAGCGGCTTTAGTTTCTCCGGCGTCACCTCCACAAACAATTCCCGAAGATCGTTCCGCACCAGACGCAAAGTGGCCGTCTTGTAGGCCAGTTTTCGACCCGTGATGCCCACCGCATTGGTCCACTGCATGTTCACCGCACAGGTGAGCACTGCGTCATTGAGATCCATCGCGCAATTACCTTTACTTCAGTCAGTTTTGGATTAAATTAAATTAATTTAACTACAAAATCAAAATTTCTTCCATGCGCTTGGTCGCCGATTGGCTGATCGATATCAGCGGAAAAGTTATCGATATCAGCGCGGTGGTGTGAACGCATCTTGACTGTTCGCAAATGTGACAAAAACAGCAAAGTTCCACTCCAGGATCAGCTGTGACTCAAACCGGGCCATATTCAAAGATTATAGATTGCTATATTTAAAGATTACAGAACAGCAGGCTAGGAAAAGTAATTTGCTATGCCTCGCACTTTAAGTCGCACACTAATCAAGAAATATGAATGTGGATCAAAGATTAATTGCGCGCCTATTGCTGGCGATTCTATTGACTTCCTTGATGACTACCATTTTAATGGGCAAGCAGATACACAGAAGAATAGTGGACTCCATGGTAAACACAATCGGCCAAAAGGAGAGTTTCTTTGAAACAGAGCTTTCGAAGGCGGCGGTGCCAGCCAGGCTGCTTCCAAAGAGGAAGATCAGTCCGCAGATCGTGATTTCCCCAGGAATACTGATCTTAAATGAAACCGAATTGGACATATTAAGAATCCAGCGCAACAAAAGCTTCCACCTGCCCAAGCAAGAAGCTATTAGGGAGTGGCAGGATGGGCTCTCCTTTAAACAGGATAATAGCCGCACCGGATTGGGTGAGCAGGGAAGAGCAGCTGAGTTACCACATGCAAAGGAAAGTAATGGTATAAAAAGCCTCTACGAGCTGCAGCTCTCCGATCGCATTTCCCTCAACAGATCCTTGCCGGATACCAGACCTAAAAGGTGAGTGCTTAAAAGGCATACAATAGTTTCAAATGTAAAGCTAGCTAACTCAGATGCCGGAAACGCCAGTATCTGGAGAACCTACCCAATGTGACTGTAATAATGGCCTTTCACGATGAACAACTCAGTGTGTTGCTGAGATCCTTGACGAGCGTAATCAATCGCTCTCCTGCGGAGTTACTCAAGCAGATTGTCCTCGTGGATGACGATAGTAGTTTGCCAGAATTGGAACAACTGGATGATTTGGTGGCTCAAAACTTTGCCAGCATCGTCCAGATCATTAGGCTTTCAGAACGACGTGGTTTGATCAAAGCGAGGATGGAGGCCGTTAAGGTGTCCAGCTGCCAAGTCTTGGTCTTTCTAGACTCCCACATCGAAGTCAACACCAATTGGGTATTACTTAACGAAACTGCCATTAAACTGGCTGCTTGACCTAGTTAAATTTCCACTTTATAGTTGCCGCCCCTGCTGGAGCCTATAGTTATAAACCAACATATAGTCACCGGTCCCATTGTGGATGTCATCTCACACAAGACATTTGCGTATACGAAACAAAGTCCGATGACCCGCTCAGGTTTCAACTGGTGGCTAGAGAATGAGAGACTACCCCTTCTTCCCGAAGATAAAAGTCCAGATTCCACGCCCTACCGCACACCGGTTTTATCAGGAGCCGTGGCGATTGACAGGAACTACTTCCTGCAGCTGGGAGGATTCGATGAGCAGCTGGACACTTGGCACGCCGAGAAGTTCGAGCTCAGCTTCAAGGTCTGGATGTGTGGTGGAATGATGCTGTATGTTCCCTGCTCCCGAGTGGGTCACATCAACAGAACACCCATGCAGTCGATTAGTAGTGCAAGGAACTATAATTTTCTGCCCAGGGTAAGTAATATTTTGAACTCTGAAAAATTCGATGGATATTATAACACTGTAATTACCTAGAACTACAAGCGAGTAGCTGAAGTTTGGATGGACACATATAAGAAGTATGTGTTCGACAAGAAGCCGAAGCTCTACAAGCTGGCGAATGCTGGGCTGCTTTCCAAAAGGAAGACCCTAAGAAAGGCTCTGAAGTGCAAGACCTTCTATTGGTACTTGACAAAGGTGGCTCCGGATTTTCTGAAAAGGTATCTAGCGTTGGGTTCGCCAGCGGGCTTCTCCGGGGTCATTGAAAGTGTGGCTTTCCCTGGATTCTGTGTGGACTCCCTGGATCGCAGACATACGAAACCAGTGGTTTTAGCCCGGTGCACTGGGAATAAATCAAAGCCCGAGGAACATCAGGATTGGTCCTTAACGAAGGATCATGAGATTCGCCCGACGAATAGTAAATATGATTGCTTGGAAGCGCAGGGCCTTAAGTCAAAATCCTTGTGGCTCTTTCACTGCCACAAAAACGGCGGAAATCAGTACTGGTTCTACAACCGCCGTCAGAGGTGGCTCCAACAGGGACAACTGTGGGTGAGGTGCCTGGAAGCCCACCTGCCCAATGGCCATAAGGTTGGCAAGGTTCTGGCCAATAAAATCTGCGATAGAAATCAACTTGAGCAGCAGTGGAAAGTGGGGCTAAGTGCCCCCTATGATCCACAAAGGGAGCCCAGTTAAAATAAAAATATGTAAAACAATAAAAGACATATTTAAATAGAGTGCTAATTAGAGTTATATTCAATTAAAAAAAGTATGCCTGCAGATACAGATGGCGCCAGCTGTTCACACTTCTGTGCCCGCCCCAGTTCTGAAAAGGACCGAGCAGAGGGCGCCACCATGACGCACGCTGCGCTAATTTGAATTCGCACGCGGGGATATTTGGTTATTATTGTTCTTTCGCCCGACTTTTCTCAGGTGAGTGCGAAATCTGGCTCTGGTCTTACACGTCACCGGGCAGCCGTCTCGTCTGCCACTGATTGATAGTGAAGAAGCGTGTTTTTTGGCCAACAGAAAATCTGAAAACTCCGCCGCCTTATCACTGAGTGCGGCTTTCCAATTACACTAATGGCTGTGCTTTTTGCCAGGTGTCAACAGGTGGCTGCTCCCCTGCTGCATCGGCATGCCAGCAGTCAGCATTTTGGACTTCCGCCGCCAAGACGTCCACATGGCCATGAAGAAGAGATATGTGAAGCGCCTGGTGCGCAAGGTGGTCCTGTTATTGGTGATCATCGTCACCGTGTCCCTGGTCACCACTTTGGTGGTCGAGCAGCGGATGAAAAAGGCCGCTGAGCTGACGGAACACCTCGATCCGAATGGAGATCCCATAACGCCCGTCTTCAGGGCCGCCAACATAATTCCAACTCGGAAGGCTCCACGCCCACCATTTCAGGATCGCAACTCTGTAATTGGTCTGCCGAAAAGTGAAAAGCCCCAGGGATTCCGACTGCCGGAAGCAAAAGGAGAGCGCAAGGATTGGCACGACTATGCGGCCATGGAGGCGGATCGAAAGCGATTCGGTTTCGGTGAGCATGGAGTAGCCGTGAAGATCGAGAATCCCGACGAGAAGGCGTTGGAAAAGGAGCACTACGAGATGAACGGCTTCAATGGCCTCATATCGGATCGCATCTCCGTCAATCGATCTGTGCCAGATGTCAGACTCGAGGCGTAAGTGTGTCCCTCATTGGGTGCTATCAATTCTTGAAATGCTCTTATCTTTGCAGTTGCAAAACCCGGAAGTATCTGGCCAAGTTGCCCAACATCAGCGTGGTGTTCGTCTTCTTCAATGAGCACTTCAACACCCTGTTGAGATCGATGTATAGTGTGATAAATCGCACTCCACCGGAATTACTTAAGCAAATTGTGCTCGTGGACGACGGCAGCGAGTGGGATAGTCTGAAGCAGCCGTTGGACGACTACGTGCAGCAGCACTTTCCCCATCTGGTGACTGTGGTGCACAGTCCGGAGAGACAAGGTCTAATTGGTGCCAGAATAGCTGGGGCCAAGGTGGCAGTGGGAGAAGTGATGGTCTTCTTTGACTCCCACATAGAAGTCAACTACAATTGGGTATGACTTTCCAGTGAGCCATGTGTATGGATACAGAGGAATACTCCGTGTTTCTATGCTTGCAGCTACCTCCGCTGATCGAACCCATTGCCATCAATCCCAAGATCTGCACCTGCCCCATTGTGGACAGTATTTCGCACGAGGACTTTTCTTACTTTGGCGGAAACAAGGACGGAACACGTGGTGGATTCGATTGGAAAATGCTGTACAAACAGCTGCCAGTCCTGCCCGAGGATGCGCTGGACAAGTCCCAGCCGTACCGCAGTCCCGTGATGATGGGCGGCCTGTTTGCCATCAACACGGACTTCTTCTGGGATCTGGGCGGCTACGACGATCAGTTGGACATCTGGGGCGGTGAGCAGTACGAGTTGAGCTTCAAGATTTGGATGTGCGGCGGCATGTTGCTGGACGTTCCATGCTCGAGGGTGGCACACATATTCCGGGGACCCATGAAGCCAAGGGGCAATCCCAGGGGACACAACTTCGTGGCCAAGGTGGGTGTAGTGCTCCACCCAGTGCTGCTTTAACAGGTTTCTGATTTCTTACTGTAGAACCACAAGCGTGTGGCAGAGGTTTGGATGGATGAGTACAAGCAGTATGTGTACAACCGCGATCCGACGACCTATGATAACGTGGATGCCGGCGATCTGACCCGTCAGCGTGGAATTCGGGAGCGGCTGAAGTGCAAGAGTTTCCACTGGTACATGACGGAGGTGGCGCCCGATTTCCTCGTCAAGTACCCGCCGGTGGAACCACCAAGCTACGCCGAAGGCGTCATTCAGAACGTGGCCAACCCGGTCTATTGCCTGGACAACATGGGCAAGTCCACCGAGAAGGAGGTGGGAATGTTCAGCTGTGCGGACAACAGGACCCATCCGCAACCCAATCAGTTTTGGGAGCTCTCGATTTTCCGAGATCTGCGTATGAAGAGCTTGGACTCAGTGTGCCTGGATGTCCACGAGCCGCAGCCGAATGCCACCGTTTGGATGTGGAACTGTCACACCCAGGGCGGCAATCAGTTCTGGTACTACGACCGGCAAACCCAACGATTGGTTCACGGAGAAACCAACAAGCGCTGCCTGGAGGGACTCGTGGAGAACGGCGTGGCCAGGGTGGTGGCCAATGCCTGCGAGGAGGGCAATGATCGCCAGCGCTGGGAGTTCGGATTTGTGAACCACACCATGCTGGACACTTTCCACGTGGGCTTAGGGTAGACTGCCATCCATACGCCACTACCAATTCGAGTAACCACAGGCCAGATGTCGATCGCTGCAGGTCGTGGACCTCGATCCTCACGGGTTTAGTTCATCGATCGTTGTGAAGGTTTCTGAAAGAGAAAAAACTCGCTAAGTAAATTCCATTTTTCCATTAATTCTTGCCCCATGCATTATTGATATATGACAGCGGAAAGTGAAAGATCTGGACGAGCAGATCGCAATCGGAACGAGGATTCCGTCCGATCGCAGGCCACAAACTCTGATCTTTATTTGCTGTACGTAGCACACACTATCTTTAGGTATCACCGTTTCGAGGAGAGCCGCGATTACTTTTAAAGCTTAGAGATCGTAGCTATATGCACTTAACCCATAATAAACAATTACAAGTAAACAAGGCTGCTGCAGGCCACTGGAATACTCCATCAATCACATGTGAGGGCATCTGTGGTACTCACGTTCTGCTGATTTGAATTTTCGACTGTCGCAAACCTTATCAGCGGGGCTGTTGAACTTTCTACAAAAGGCGAAAGAGGAGTCGGGAAGAGGTAGCAGACACCAGATAGACTAGAGAAGTTTTCACCCCGCAGAAACCAGACATACGTGTATGCTAAGCTGATGTAATTTCAGACGCAGTTGCGCGACTTTCGCAGCAGAGGACGAAGATCGAAGATCCCTGAATGGGTGGCAATGGCTGGCGGCAATGACTCAGCGTCAAGCTGTCTCGATCTGGGCTGGCTTTATCCTTATCTATGCAGCTGCCTATCGCCACACGAGAGCACATGCTAATTTATAGGCAACGTGATGTTGTTTTGGCTATTTCCTCCGCTTTTTTCTCCGCGCTTTTCATATTTTGTGCATAAACAAAGTCAAATGATTTGCTTGTTTTCTTTGTTTTTTTTTGGCCAACGCGACGGCGGCGGCGGCGCTTCTCATTCGGAATCACCGAATGTGGGTCATCGACGTCAGCGAGATGGGGTCTAGTTCGCCTCTGAAGATTCCCTTTGCCAAGGCGGTTCACTTGCCGGGTGGTTTTGGTGGTAGCTACAATAATGCTCCAAGAACGCAGCCAGTAACACTTGTTTACCTTATTCAATAGTGTATATCTGCGGGTTTTCTTAGGAAGTCATTACCAGTGACTCAAATCTGAGTTCCACCAGCAGTGGGAGGCATTCACTCATACTCCATAAATAACTGGCATAGTCCATAACATAGTAGTCCTAGGAAACCTCATATTACAGTCCCAGTTTTTTTCCATTATGTTGATAGTTTAAATACCATGCGTGAGTTTATAGAGCATTCAAATATCATTGGCCTTTTTCTGTCTGCGTTTCTCATGCTATTCGCTCTAGCCGAAAAATAAAAACAAGTCGATGTCGTCTAGCCCATTCACAACCATCTCAGACTCGTTTGGGAATAGAGCCCGCTGATGGCTTGTTTCCCGCAATCCGATGGTGCAATTTCATCAGCCACCCCGAAAATATTTCATCCGAATCTCACAACACACGTATGTGCTACCTGTCCCCCGGCGGATGGGAAAAACACCCCTCGGCGCTCTGAGAAGTGGCCAGGAAAATCTCAAGACGCATTTTCCCTCGCCCGCAACGCAATAGGAAACTTTCTTCGGGCAATAGGCCTCTCTCTCCTCGCTCCCTGCGCCCTGCGCAGGTACCTTGTACATCTGATGGAACCGAAAGCGAAATCCGAACTGGTTTCTTCGAGGGTTGATAAGCCCTAATGGAGGTGGAAAATGAGGCGAATAGCCGCTCTCTCGCCCAAAAATAAAATATATGTATAAACATAATAGCCGGCACGTAGGGCGGCTTCTATGCTGTGGACTACGTGCTAGATGACACGGCAAATTGTCCGTGTTTTCTAGGTTCTGGCTTCCTTGTTTACCGTTTACTGCTTTGGGGGTCAGTTGGCACACTGCGAACTCCCAGCCCCACCAAATGTAATGGATGGATGTGGGTCATGCTGCTCCCATGCTCTGGAAATCTTTCAAGGTCTGAAAAGCTTCGCCGTTTGGCTACCATAAATATTAGCACGCTTAAGTGGCGACCTTGTGCAGATTCCTAGGTGGGTGCCATACCCTGTCCCACATCGTGATCGCCATAGATCAACACACGTGGCCACCTTTTGTCAACCCCACATCCCTCGGAATGGCCCGTGGCCAATATCCGAATTACGTCGAATCGTGGGCGCCAACGTAGGCAAAAGTTCCTTTAGCACTATTTACATGCGTCCAACGATTAAAGATCGTCAATGTCGCCCCCGCAAAGCGAAAATCGCTCGTGCCGCTGCTTGGACCCACCCTACATTTGCGGCTGTCAGTGGGGCGTATTAGTGTTATGCAAAACTGAATATTCCGCCTCAAGTAACTTGGGAACTAATAGAGATTCGGGCACCAAATCTGGTATGTGGGTTTCTTTAGGTATGTGTATATTATGTATGTTTCATGTCTTGCAGTAGATCTTCTTATATATTGGAATCACGCAAAAGTAAGATACGTCTGCATAGTCATGTGTTTTTTAACCCTACACAAGTAAATAAGTAAGTTATGCAAGACGTGTATCTCAGTGATAATTATTTCCAGACGGCTCGTGCCAGATATTAATGAACATTTTCCGGCCCTAAAAACAAATGCTGGGTATCTGGTAGTCCCAAAGAAACCGACTTGGGAACACCGCACGGAGAGCCTACGTCACATGTGCCGGCTACGTGTCTTTATGCTAATTAATAGTATTTCGTGAAAACGAGTGCAAAACAATAGCCACACACAGAGACCCAGGGCAAACATGCTTCCCGAAATTCTGCGAAACACCTCTCCACATCCAGACACCCAGAAACCCATTGATAAGAACCCAGGAGCACCTGAGTCATCATCATTTCCCTAGTAAGATCGATAATAGACCAGGTTATTCGAGAGGAATGCGATTGCCCCTTAGTATGGCTGGCTAACTTGTTTACCAATAATACTGCCGTGTATTAAACAATAACAAATGGCCAAAGATAAACAAGAGCTCAAGGCGTGAAGCCCCTCAAGACGGCCCCACCACTCCCCCTTATCCGCTCGCATGTCCGCGGTGTGCAGCCTGCAACAAAAATAAGAACAATAGCTGGGGTAAATTAGAATACGGCAATAACAACAAGAAACACCCGGTTTGTCATAAACTACGCAGAAAATACACCCAGATAAAAACAAAAACATCAGCCGACCAAGCAGAATAATCAGGCAGAGAGGCAGAGAGACAGAGAGGCAGAGAGACAGAGAGGCAGAGAGGCAGAGAGGCAGAGAGAGAGAGCGCGTGAGCGCAAGAATCGGCATCGGGGGTATAAATAGAGCCCGACTTCGTAGCACCGCCAGCAATCGCCCAGCGAACAGCGAACGGTCAGCACGTAGCCGCCACATAGCTCCATAGCTGATAAGAGCGCAGCAATAAAACAACGCAGTTTGTGTAAACAATCAAATTGTCACAAGCATATCGAGTGTGCTTACAAGACCAGCGGAAAGTTTTCAACACCCAACGGGAACCCATCGAGTCCAAGCCAATCAATCAGCCAAGATGTCCGCTTCACCGACCGCCCGTCAAGCCATCACCCAGGCCCTGCCCATGATCACCAGGAAGGTCGTCATCTCGGATCCCATCCAGATGCCCGAGGTGTACTCCTCGACGCCCGGCGGAACGCTCTACTCCACCACTCCTGGAGGTAAGTGTCGTAGTTGGGAAACTGGGATAGCCGCCAAACTTTTCGAATTCGCGAGATATTCAGTTCGCGTGATTTTCCTATCATCAGAGGTGCAATTAATTAACGCGAATGAGTGCATCATCCAGCTTGCCATCTTTCTTGCCCTTGTTTGAGGTCTGATAAATCATAATTCAGGAATTATTTTTATAAAACTCGCTCACCGTTTTTGGCTGATGAAACTGGCCGCCTCGCCGAATCAGCCACTTGGAAGCCGATCCCGCGCACATGGCCCAGAGTTCGTGAGTCAGCGCAGCGCGACAAAGAAATGTTTACGCAGCTGGCTTATCAGTGGGGAACCTTGAATACCTTTGTGATGCAACGCAGACACATTGACTAATCAGAATTTTCGCTTGGCTATGATTCCAGGCACCAAGCTGATCTACGAGCGGGCCTTCATGAAGAATCTCCGTGGCTCCCCGCTTAGCCAAACGCCGCCGTCCAACGTGCCCAGCTGCTTGCTGCGGGGAACTCCGCGCACTCCCTTCCGCAAGTGCGTGCCCGTGCCCACGGAGCTGGTCAAGCAGACCAAGTCCCTGAAGATCGAGGACCAGGAACAGTTCCAGCTGGACCTGTAGGGGTCTGGCTTGGAGCCCGCCAAGCAGCAACTGCCAAAACCAACTAGTTCTTAGATGCACCACTAAACCCGATCTTATAAGCTAGTGTACCCTCTAACTAGATGCTAAGTTCTTAGTTCTTCCACCTCGTTTGTTCTCTCGGTCATATTGACCCAGTACCAGTACCTTGTAAAATCGTAGATGTTAAGTAAATTGCAATAAAAAAAAACACATTATTTAAAGTAGAGCCATTGACTGGGTTTCAAACATAAATTCTAATTAGTGCCATGCCAAATTACTTTCTTTATCGGCGAATCAACCTTGGCAGGCCACGCGTGTTTGATAGAACACTTTCCACTTCACCTTGAGTCAGTTTCGGCCGAGTATTATTTTTGGCAGTTTGTTGAACTGTTTGCATAGAAATGTAGCGAAATTTCTGGGGGGAGGCACGCATTCTAGACAGCTGGAAATACCGGCCGGCTTTTTAGTTAGCCAGTCAGTGGCCCCAGCAGCGCGTGTCCCACTTATTGGATAGATACACACATTTGTATAGCACAAGCTAAAGATCAACAACGCGCTTGTGTGTATCCAAAAAGCGGCAAACAAGCCCCACAACAAAAGTTTAGATCTTTAGGAACTGCGCAGTTGGGAACGACCTCGCCTTTGCCCCGCGACTCGTTTACCACTTTCTTATACAAATATACTGAGGTAGTGTGCAGAGCACATGTTCAGATAGACCGATCCCTATGTACATCCACTTGGCTACTCCCGGCACGTTCCAGACCCATTTGAATATTGCGCATGAATAATTACCTAATCGCAAACAGGCGCTGGCGAAAAGTGTTTGCTCAGCAAAGATTTAGCATCGCAGTGCAAAAATTCGACAGCAAGAGATAGTGCGAATAGTGGAGCCAGATGTTTACCGAGTTATAAATATAAGGCAAATCAACTTAATTCAATTAGTAAACAACGCCAGACAGACGCAGCATAAGGCGCGAACTAATTAACTCGGCATTTGTTTTGGCCTTGGCTTTTAAAAACCCAATAAATACCAAATAAATGGCCTAACCAAACATCAGCAAAAGTGGCTGGCTAGACAAGTAACTATATTTTAGTGTGTTGATACGAATTGTTCATAGAATAATTGTTTAGAAGCGATTCAAAACTTCGCGCCCTTTCTTGGTTTTTTGTTTTGCTCATAAGGTTTTCCAAAAATGTAGTCTACTTTTAGACGTCAGCGATCAAACTTAGTAGTTCCGCAAATGCCCGTTTTAATGGCATTTCATTGTGGCGCCACGGTAAAGCTAATGATATTTTGAATCTAATGAATTGGGAATTAATTCCAATTATAGTTACAATTATTTTTTAACCATATTTATGTTTATTGTATCCAGTTTCGATGTTTCGCATGGGACAGATGTACAAGAATCTCAAATAGTTTAGGCAAGCTTACGGTCTACACAAAAAGTGGTTTAAACTTGTTTAATTACATATTTACAATAAAATATTACATATTTTCATAGATGTGCGTGCGGATAAGGAAGCTAGCCTCTCTACTTGAACCTCAGCAGGTTGTCCACTCCACCCAGAGGACCATGACCGAAGTGCAGGGCATCCGACGTGGCCTCCGACCGAGTGCGTGCCTCCAGGACGGAGGCCACCCGCTGCTGACCACTGATGTAGCCCAGGGATCCGGAGCCGAGGTACACATTACCGTTGGGCAGACGCACAAAGCCCAGGCCACCCGATCCCAAGGCAATGGCATCTCCGCCCAGTGCTCCGCCCTGGGATCTGGGCTGGATGGCCAGCTGCTGCTGCTCCAGCAGCAGGGAATTGGCCCGGGAGTCCAGCTGGATTCCATTGGCCGACGGAGCACCCACATGGGCGCCATAGCGATCGAAGAAACTCGTACCCGACAGGAACGGACCCGGAGTCTCGTCAATGTCGTTGTCGATGATCTCGATGACGGCATACTGCTTCAGCTGCCTGCCATTGGCGATGTAGGATTCTCCGGGGGAAATCAACGCCTGCTTGCCGAAGGGAATGCGCAGATTTCCTCCTGCGGTCAATGGAGCTGGTCCAGTGGGCGGCACCACGATGGGCGTATCAAGCGATGTCCTCGGCGGTGGTGGAGGTCCGTAACTGGGCTTGAAAGTGGGTGTTCCGTGGAAACTTATAGATGAGATGGGGGCAGCAGCTGGCGGTGGAATATAGGTGGACACCACTGGCTTCGGTGGCAGATAGTGACTAACGATGCTGGCAGCCGGAGCTGTGGGACGACTCCTGGGAATCGGAGCCCTGGCCGTGGGAAGTGGAGGAAGTGCCGGAATCGGAGGCAGCGGATGAATGGTGGGCAGCGCACTGAACTGGTGACCCGTATACACCGATCCTGATCCCGATGGCGCCGAGGGAGCCGTGGGTCTCGTGGGTCTGTTGTAATGGTAGCCCACATCCGCTTTGGTCAAAGCCAGTGATAGAATCAACAGACCCAAAATACTCAGGCGGTGGCAAGGCATCTGTAATTAGGTAAGAAGTGGGGATTTCTTTAGGAAGTTAATCAAATGAGTAATTAATGGGGAGACATAAAGTTGGTCGGCGTATTAAATCTTGGCACACATGTAATTGCTTATGTGACATCACATAACCGCTCAATCAATAAGATAAATCCTTAATGAGCAGCCGTAAACATAATTGATCCGAAATCACTCAACTGTTGCCGCTGTCTATGCAGTGGATACCCTGTAGCTTGAAGAGGTATATTTGTACCAGCATTGGCTTAAAGTTATGTAGTTACGAAGTTTTTTTTTGAGTAGTACTTTTTGTATGTTAATTGTGACCACTTTTGTATATATATTTTAATTTATTCATTTATTGTTTTATAAATGAGTAGCCACCATTCGCGCTGCTTTCAGTCTCTTTAACTGCACTCCTTTGATCCAATTGACTTAATTTTGCGGTGTGCCGAGCTAAAACCAACTGGTTGTGGCCGGCCGGTAGATCGGCGGATCGGTGAATCGCTAAGCTGCTGGATCGAGGTAACCGCTACTGTAATTGGCGTGATTTTTCATGCGGAGATCATTGCCCAAGGCGGCGATCGTAATGGAAGGCGGTGGCCAGGGGAAGCCACAAGCTAATTAGCAAATCGAATCGCAAACATCTCATAGTCACCGGGGATCTTGCCTGCATTCACTCCCCACCAGATCCCCTTAAGAAATCGCCAGCCAATTAAATGAAATGGCTGCACTTAATTGGATATTTATATTCATTCGTCCTATTAACACTTCCCACACAAATAGCCCTCCTTTGTGCCGCATTATCAATCTTCTTGGGCGCACTAAACAAAGGCAAACAGCAAGGCGGGCGGTTTAATGATATTTATCAACTGGCGTCGCCACTACTGAATAAGGTGCACTGAGCGAAAACATTTTATTTTTCACAAATCGTATTAAAAATACATTTTAAATATTATTTAAGTGATATCATTAAGTGGGGACTGTCATAATTTTTTCACAATAGAAAAGCAGAATTTATTTCTCTGTGTGTAGTTGCAAAAACAAACAGCCACTGCAACTGGCAGCAGGTTCAAATTCAGGGGCCATGGCTAGAAGGCGACAGGGGGCGGAAAGGGGGCGTGGGAAGTGTGCAGCGGAGTGGCGTGTGGTCATTGTTGTTGCCCCACTGCTACTCCACTTGCTTTTGTTGTTGTGGCTGCCGCTGCGTGGGCGTTTCTTGGTGTCAGTGGCGGGTTCAGATCATGCATCGAGTGGCAGTTGTAGCCCGCTCACTTGCTGTTGTTTACATAAAAGGCGTTTAATTAAGTCATTAACAAGGGGAGATAATAATGCATGTAGCTATGTACCCCACCGAATTCATTGCAAGGGAGTTTTTATTGAGCACTTTGCTAAACTACTTTAGATTATAGATTGTTATCCTAAAATTATTGAACATTGAATACTTTTAAGCCATGTTAAACCATGCTGTGCTCTTTTTTTTTCATTTCTGTTTCGATTGTTTGTTTCTAAGAACAAGTTTGTTGCTTGAGTCTTTCGTTTTCCTGCCTTCCTTGATAAATAAATCTTCTGGCACGCACAAAAATCCCCCCATCCGAAAAAGCCACTTCGCTGGCCCAACTCTAATAGATTTGTAATAAATTATGCGCTCTATATGCACTTTAATAAATCAATAAATTGCAGACATACGCAACTTTTTTGCCGATCATCGGTTAATGCCGTTTTTCTATATTTTTTTGCGTGTGCTGCGTTTTTTGTTTGCATACTACGAAAACGCGTTTTTTCTGAGCTGCCAGCGTGTGCCAAGCAGACAGCAGGGGTTTTTTTGTATCGAGAACTGGTAAAACACACGTCATCAAAAGGCCGAGAAGGGGGATCCGAGGCAGCTGGAGATGACAGTTCGGACAGGGGATGCTATGATATGAAACACATATGGAACTGAAGTGCAATTAGAAAAAATGAGATAGCAAAACAAAATTGTTCAGAATTTCCCCCCTCACAACGCCTCTGTACTGGAAAGGCACTTGGCCAGCAGGCAAAACGTTAACTTGCGTGTTGTTGGCCACTTCGGGCTCAATGAATGAATTGCACTGATTGAACGGCTCACGCACCTCGCTTTGGGCCAGGCTTTTTCGGCTCCGGTCCAAACGCACATTGCTCTATAAATTGTGTGTGGATTTTCCGCCAGCAGGGAAAAAGGGGCGGGCGAGTGGGCGGTGGAAAGCGGGCGGGGAAAAGTGTGTCAATGCGGCTCGGACTCGCTTTGATTTGTTGATAAGTTTTGCGTGGCACATTTCGGATGATATTGCATCACAGATATTGTAGCGGATTTTGTTCATTTTACAACGTCAACGGAAATTAGATTTTCAGCCAATCGGTTAATTAAAATCCTTAAGCCGCGCCAAGAAACTGCGTTTTTCCCACTCACTTTTGGCCAAGAGCCAAAGGCTAAGAAGTTGCGGCCATAAAACGTAATCAATGCGCTGCATATTAAGTTACAGCGATCCAGTAGTCAGGATGTCACGTTATGGCCTCCTCCTCTCCAGGAGTTGTGCAATGTGCTTCATGTCCCAATCATTTTATAAGTTTTTTGGGTTTTTCGGATTAGCCGAGGGGCGTTTTGCTTGGGCCTTCGCATTGCGTTTAAACTGGTTTGATAAACTGGTATCAATTGGCATCGCTACTTAAAATTGTGAGATGATGGAGCAGGGCCGGAATGCGAATTGGTTTTTTCC